TAGCAGCAGCAAGCAGCAGTGGGATCCGGAGGCAGCAGCAACAACAACCGGCTGTGCTGTGGCTGCTGCTTTGGGCTGGGATGCGCCAGCAGTGCGGCAGCAGCTGCTGGCGATGCTGCCGGTGGTTACCGGTCCCGCGCCGCGCTGCCTTTTATTGGATTTGTTGCAGCTGCTGCCACACAGCGAAGCTCCGCTCGCTGCCACCATTCAGGAACAGCCGCAGCAGCAGGTGCAGACGCAGAAGCAGCAGCAGCAGCAGCAGCGACAACAGCAACAGATGCAGGTGCAGCTGCAGATGCAGACACAGCAACAGACTAACGATCAGGAGGGGCAGCAGCACCAGGCCCAGCAGCAGCAGCAGCAGCTGCAGCAGCATCCTGTATTGGATCCACTGGAGGGCATAAGGAGGCGAGTTAGGGGTGCGATTGAGATGGCGGTATCGCTTAGGCAAGATTATTGTGCTGCAGGTACCCTGCATCTGCAGCTGCTGCTGCAGCAGCTGTTCACGGAGCCAGCGGAAGCGGCTGCAGCTGCAGCAGCTGCTGCAGCAGCAGGCAGTGATAGCCAGAAACCTGCAGACTCTGCAGCTTCTGCTGCTTCTGCTTGTTCTGGGGCTGCTCACTGCGGGCCACCCGCCTTTGTGCTGCAGCAGCAAACTGTTTTCTGTGCTGCACTCGATGAGGCCCTTCAGCTGCTGCTGCCGTCATCCCTGCACGCTACTGCAGGAGCGGATGCTGTAGCCGCGCCACTGCCGAGCAACGAAAACAGCAACAGCAGCCCAAGTAGCAGCAGCAGGAACAGCAGCAGCAGCTGCTGCACGGGCCACGCTTGCGGGGAGCTGCTGCGGGTATTGCGTATACTGACAGCAGCAGCAGAAGTTCGTCTTGCTGCAGTGCAGCGGAGCCCCTTAGCGCTGGCTGAGCCGCAGATGGGGCTGCACGGAATCCTTGGGGTTCTGGAGGTTTGTCTCACCACAATTAAACCCAGCCTGCTGCAGGGCGCATGCAGCAACAGCAGCAAGCCAGGCAGTTGCAGCTGCAGAGAGGCAGTGCGCGCCTGGCGGGACTGGCAGCAGAGGCTGCTGCGACTGCTACTGAGCATTTGCCGTTGTCTTACTTCTTTTGTTGCTGCTGGAGACGAAGAAGATACACCCCAGCTGCCCCCGACAGACACAGACGCAGATGCAGCAACAACAGCAACGGCAGCAGGCGAAGCAGCAACGAAAGCAACAGAGATGAACGGACGTCAAGGGCCACTGGAGGGGACGGCCAACAGCCAGGCACCGGCTGCAGCAGCTGCTGCCCGGTCTG